CCATCCATCCATCCATCCATCCATCCATCCATCCATCCATCCACCCACCCATCCATCCATCTATCCATCCATCCATACGATGTATCAATTGACGGTCACAGGGGAGTGGGGGTGTTATATAGATAAATATAACGATCATTTTACACAAAGATAGCATGGGGGTTTGATTCTCAAGAACAGCTCATGCAGAACACTTCACAGTTGACACTACACTTCCCAGAATCCTCAGCGACACATCTGCCAAGTTTGAAGTCAATAAGTTGAGTGTTATTTGAGCACAGCCAGACATTTTGTACATGGTGTCCAATATGTAAAGCTGAAATGGTATCAGTGTTAGAAAAAAACAAAAAGCAATACGAATCATTTTAATTTTATGTTTGTGTATTTTGGGGTATTTAACTGAAAGAATACAGCGAAGGTTAACAGTGCAATGATTGATTTGAAAAATAAAATTCCATACAAAACTCTTTCCTTGTTTGCAGATAGCCCATAAATACCTGGTGGAGAAGCACCTCTCTCCTGCGGATACGACAAAATTCAAGGAGCAGCTGTACAGGATCTGGTTTGAACTGTATGCAAGGAGGGGATCCAGCAGGTGGGTGGCATCTGGCACCGAACCTAAACACACAATAACTCCAGCAGTGGAATCTGGCACCGTCATGGTAGCTGTCTTAACACTGAGAAACTGGCTCTGTGACAAATGTAGTTCTGCCCATGTAAATAAAAAAAAGATCTCATCATTTCATGAATGAGTTTGTGGTTTGACCTTTTCCTTTTCCGCCTCCCTCCAGGCCAGACTCCTCGGGGTTTGAACACGTGTTTGTTGGAGAGACGAGAGGAGGACGGACTGTGATTGGTTTTCACAACTGGATCCAGCTCTACCTGCAGGAGAAGCTGGGACACATAGATTACAAAGGCTACAGCGTCACTGCAAATTCACCCCAGGTACACAGTGTGTTTTTTAATCAGGATGGTAAAACTATATCATAATATGTTTTAAATACTACAAACCCAAGATAAAGACTAAACAAGTGTGACAAACCAGCTTTTGTCTTCTAAGACCCTCTCAAAAGCCAAATTTTGAATTTCCCAGCAACACCATCATCTATATTTGACACATCTGCTCCTCTCGTTGACTCTCGCTCTGTGTGATCTCATCATCGGTCTTGCACTCTGATGAGAAACCTCACATTCTGCTGTGGACACATGCACTCACTGTCCTGAGCAGCTCTGTGGATTCTCAAATCTTTAAGCTGTGGAGTTCATGCAAAGTCATCTGTGTATTCTTATGCTTATGTTCAGGGGGGTTATCCAAGAATCTTTAATAACTTTCAACTTAGTCAAATTACACTTTTAATAATAACTCTTCAGTCACAGGCTCATGTTTAATATTTGAGGTGAAAATTCTACTTTCATAGTTTCACAATATATTTTCTAAGTCTAATGCAATGTAGTACAAGACAAAGTATTTACATATGGAACTTATCTTTCCTTCTTGGCAAAACTGGGCTTCCATACAATATGTCCACTCTCTGGTTGTGGGTAGAAATATGTAAAACACTGGCGAGATGTCTAGTTTCTTTATATCTTTGTGTTTTTACTCTCACCTCCTCCTGCTAGTTGCTAATGTCCTTTCTCTCCGCTACGACTAATAACGACTCACTGACGCTGTCCTCACTGTCACTTCTCACTGCAGCCTGACGAGAACAAACACATCCTGGCCCTACAGTTCAGCTGGAAGAACGGTATAAAGCCCAAGGGCAGCATCTTCATCGGCGTCAGTCCCGAGTTCGAGTTCGCCCTCTACACCCTCTGTTTCCTCACCTCGCCCAATGAGCGCGTCAAAGTCCAGTTCAGTTTCTACGATGTGGAGATCGTTTGCCACCACTACAACCAAAAGCACATAGGCACCACCTACCCTGTGCTCCTCAAGTACCAGAACCTTTAGTAACCTGACCTGGAAATCAATTTGCAATACACAAAAATGTCATAGGTATTGTTGTTGCCTTTTTATTTTAGATAAAGATTCAATAAAACCTTACAAGACCCACTTGCATTCGCCTTTGTTTTTATTGCCTGTTCAGAGAGTGTGATGAAGAATATTTGAAGTCTACAGATTGATGCAATACAATTACATGCGATGTACCTCAAACGAGTACTGGCAAGTACAAGTGGCAGTATAATTTCTTTATGTGATTCCAGTAATGCTTATACCTTCTGAAAAAGGCTACAGTAAGGTTTTTAAAGTTTGGAGCCTGAACAGCAGAACCATCCTATTATTAACTAATAATAATACTAATACAACTATTATTATTATTGTTATTATTATTATTAGCCTGACTAATGCTTTGTGTTACAGTTGTGCTGTTGTTTCACCTACATTCAGAAGGGGGCGCTGGAGAGTTTGTTTTGGCCATTGACGTCAGTACTTTACTGATCTCGAGCTGCATCACGTTGACGTGAATATGCAGGACACAGGTTGACATTAGTTTCAAAATAAAAGCGTCAGAGCAATCCTATGAAACAAAACCGAGTTGTTCTTACTGGGATGGAGGATATATTGAAAAGTGCTGCATGTGTGGCAACTTCATAAACGCATTACAAGTGACACACATTGAAGCTGGTTAGATTTTAACACTGCTCCATTGTACCTGCAACTATATGTTCAGACTCAATCGTATTTAAAATACTGAAGAAGATGAAAGAGAATGTGTAAAAACACAGTGCACAGAATTAAAACACTGAACACAACTGCGTGATTATGTTCATTTCTAAGAATAATATTTTCTGCGGTTTCCCATGCGTGTTCCGGCTGCGTTGTCTTTTACTTTGAAACAGGAAGCGCCTCCCCTCCCTCGTCAGTGGTGTGGTCGGTGCAGGAAGAAGAAGCTGCCTCTCATGGTGGAGGATTCTCTTCACTCTTTGCTGTGTTATATAATTTCTCTGGTTCCCTCTCGGTGTCTCTCGGCTTCTCTCTCCTGTGGTCGATAACGAGCCGTTCTCAGCGGAATGGCCGAACCCAGCGGCAGATACCAGCAGGTAGGGCTGTGCTCCGGCGGTGAACGTCAGGGGAACACGTTTAAATGTGGAAACGTCGGTGAAAGCGGATTAAAGAAGCAACACAGACACACACGTGTGTGGATGACATGTCGGCGTCGCATTCAGAAACACGACGGGTCCTCTCTGTGCTCGTGTCGTCGCTCGTTACGTCAAGTTTGTCTCCGTTGTTTTCATCGACAGGTGTTAGCATGCTAGCTGCAGCTAACGCCTCTGTGCTAGCTAGCTTGTTTGGCTATCTAGATATCTAGTGTTGAGTGAAACGACTTCCGACGAACCTCAATGTCAATATCAGTCATTTAAGTAAAAGTCTCGAATCAATGTATTGTAATGCAATTCACAGTAATAAGTAAAAGTTTAATTTCATGTAATATAATATACTCCTAGAGGAAAAGTATTTAATTAATGCAATGTAATGACAATTACTGTTAAAAAGTAACAAAGTAAAAGTATCGAATCAATGTAATGTAATACATTCACAGTAATAGGTAAACGTATTTAATTAGTGCAGTGTAAAACTATACTGCTGTAAGTAAAAGTATTGAAATAATACGATGTAAAAATGTTGTTTTATATGTGACAGTATTCAATTAATGCAATTTCAATAAGTATACTGTGATGAGTAAAAGTATTGAATGAATGCAGTAAAATAAAATGGCACTGCATTAAGTAAAAGTATTGAATTAATGTATTGTAATGTACTGTCTGAATCTGGAATATTTTTTTATGAAAAGTGTAAGCTACAGCCGACACTGAATTATAAATATTACAATATATAAACAATATATATATTAAAGAAGTTTAGTAGAAGTATCAAGTAGCATAAAATGTAAGTACTCAAATAAAGTACATGTACCTCTTAATTGCACTGAAGTACAATGCCTGAATACCATTAGTTAGTAATACCCACATCCATGTTTACATGTTGGATATCACATGATGCGCAGCAGTGGGCGTGTTCGCTGGTCATCTAGCTTAACCTCCAAATCTGCCAGCTGACCTGCTTACTGTTGGTAGAGCAGACAGTCTTTATTATAAGTCTGCTCGTGTGGCTGATTGCAGTTATAATTAATGTGCAGACCCATTTGAGAGCGCTCTGTTCTAAAGCCAGTTATGTCCTGTGGGCGAGTAGAGATGTGGCTTGTGTTGGCAGCAAGTCCTTTTATTTTTTACCTGTGTTTTATTTGTTTATCCTAATGTCACTGCGGGTTCTTCACTGCACTACACTGACTATGATCTCTTCCAAAAACTGGTTGGTGACACATAAAAACACAGTTTCCTGAAATCCCTTACGCCTTGAATGGTTTCAGGAGAGGAGTTTACAAATGGATATCTAGTATGTAAATTATTATCTAGAGGAATTTCCATGAAAGAAATGCTTAATTCTAACAAGAGTAAATTTTAATTCTGTGCTCTTTTATTATTGGGATGGAAGATGTTATCAATCGTCCATGTTGTTTATTTTAGTTTTTTAAGATTATCACAAAATGCAAAAAGGGAAAAAAACGTGTGACATAATCTAATCTAATGTTTTTTTCATTGTAAATTAAATGTTTAAGATCAATTCAAAAATATACGTATTCCCTCAACAAGATAACTCGATATTTAGTGGAAAACTAACCACAGGATGTTTTATACAAACGATTCTTCACTTGTCTCATTTGATAATTATGCAGTTTTGTTGCCAAAATAATGTCTAATACAGATTTTATTGTTTTGCATGTAGAGGTGAACATTTGGTTTCACTGGAAATTTAAATTAATTTATTAAAATTAATTACTTGAAGGTGGAGTCAAGTCTGAGTTTATTGTTGCATCTCTTTCTAAGAGTTTGTAGTACACCACAGGACGTGTTACCCACACCAAAGGGAAAATGAAGGTGTTGATAACCTGTAATTTACACCTCTGTTAAACCATTGGTGCAGACTTTCTACTTTAGGATTTAGTATCACATCAGAGTGTTAATTGATCAAAAGTGCTTTGTTTTTAAATTCTTGTGAAGCTGAATCAGCAGCCCAGAGTAGCTGAGGTGACCAACAAAACCGTGTTCAGTGTTTTTAAATCGATTGGGCTGCTAATGTGCTTTTAATGAGACAGGGAAACTGGTCGGGGCTCATTGCTTCTTTGTTATGTTTGCATGTTATTGTAAAACTTTAATTTGGCTTCAGTTTCATTCCTCTTCTCAGATCAGTTGATGTTTCATGTTTGAGCTCCTTTGCAATCATCATTTAACTGTCATCAGGCAACATGAAGCGCCTTTATTTAAAAGAATCTATTGTCTATTGTAGCCAGTGTTGACACAAATGCAATAAGCCTCAGATGAACCAGGAAGTGTTTTGTTTACCTTCCCCAGCTGCCCAATGAGGAGGACCCAGAAGAGAGTCCACAGGTAGCAGCTGACGCACCTCCCCCATACAGCAGCATCACCGAGGACAATGCGGGTAAGACCACAACTCTTCCAGATGATGTCATTCACAATGGTGGCGCATTGGGGAATTGTTCTATAACAATCTGAGTAAACACGACTACTTTAACTGTAGTGTTCAGTACTGAATGATTCTAGTTCCTGATCAGAATCCATAAAGTGGACAGAATACTAAACACGAAGAATTCACTCTTTCAAGTAGAGCTGATTTCTTATGCTGTCATTTTTCACTAGGTTATGTGGACTCACTCATGTTTAATGATCTTACAGAACAGCAGCGGCTGCAACGATTATTTAACATATCAATAAGTTCATCAGCAGAAAATGTTTCTTCCAAACATGAAAGAGAACCTGTGGAGGTCTTCAGTTGTCATAAAAATTCAAAAGGTGTTTAGTTTGTATGAGTGTAAAAACATGGCTGCCTCCTTAGAGAGGACCCGCTCCTCATGTCAATATAAAGTATTTAAATATAAAAAGCCCATTCTAGGGTAAAGAAAACAACTGTTTGTAATTAGATTATCACACACTAGTGAAAACTTCACTAGGATTATTTTATATTCATTTTCTACCAATAGATCAAAATTTCTCTGCTTGCAGTTTCTTAAATGTCATAATTTACTGCTTTCTTTGCTATATATATATAAAACTGACGTAGATTCAATATCTTTAATTTTTGCTTCTGTCCTTTTGTTTTTAATGTTGCTGTGTCCGCATCAGCCTACTTTGACTACAAGGAAGATGGTGCTTTCCCCAAGCCTCCATCATACAATGTAGCCACTACGCTACCCTCCTACGACGAAGCAGAACGAACCAAAGCTGAGACAACTGTTCCACTGGTAACCGGAAGAGTGAGCGTCTCACTTTTTTTTTTTTTTCCTTTTTGCAAGTGGCAACATTTCACTGTATACATGAACTGCTGCTCAAAGAGTTCTTGTATTGTGGAGCAGGAAATGCTTAGTGTTTTTGGAACGTACTTCACTTATCTGGTAGTGTAACTGTCTTTTCTGCATGATGTGCTGCCAGCTTTTGTTGCTGGTTTGAGCAACTGCAGATACAAAAAAAAAAGTCCTACCAATCAGATTCAAGGCCACTCAGTCGTAGCTGATTTTACCAGATGTTCACCTGAGTTAGTTCCCTACAAAATGTGTCTTAAGATTGGTACGACATCTGATAAGTGAAGGGGACTTCTAAAGAAAATAAATACGATAGATTTTATTCACAAAGGTCTTGATTAATTCCTCTGAGATGGTTTATACCTATAAACTACAAGTGAAACTGTCGTGACAGTGGACTGCAGGAGGCTTTTTAGTCAACTTCATCAGACCTGTAGCGTGCAGGGAAAGTGCTGACACAAATATAATATAAATGAATGTACCTAATCTATAGTACGAGGCCTTACTGTTGTTACTGGCCTGCCCTCATGCCTAAACTTATGTGCATGACAAAAAACATTATTATTGTTTTCTATGCAGTATGAAAATACACAGAATAAATATGTACTGATAATGTTTTCAACATGTATTGAACCTACTGTTTTCTTCGTCTAGCTTGTTTTACCAATATCAAGTTGTGCACATTACAAATAGCTTTGAAATGCAGCCATTAGGGTTTATCTCTCATTACCTGTGAGTGTTCATGCTTCAGATTCCAATGGCTGCTACTACACATTACTAATCAACCTTCTTTACTTATATATTCATCTAACAATTACATTACTTAATGTTTATTGGACACAGAGGTTTCAAAGCTTTGATGACACATTTGCTTTTATTAGAATATCTTGATTCCTTAAACTGCAGTTTTGTTTGCTGAAGCCAAAGTACACATAGTTCTGTACAGAGTGCAGGCTTGTCAGAAGTAGCTCACACACAAAAGTCCTATCTGTCTCTTTCTGTGTCAGCGAGCAGCACAAATTCAAACATCCTCAGCAGATAGCTTGTTCTGAAAAAAACTGCTGTGTCTGTTCAAGTCCATAGTGACAACATAAACATCCCGACCTCTGAAAAATCAAGACAGCTAATCTCTGACCACTAGTGGTCACTGTGATGCATTGCTGCATGTGGGGCCACCGTGTTTGATTGTTGGTGTTGTGTTTCTCTGCCACACACTGCCGTGCGCTCAGCAGCAGCCTCAGCTCAGGGAACGCCTGGAGACTTTTGACGATGTAATTCGCAGTTCACTGGAGGTAACTGGGAGGAGTGGGAGGAGAGTGTATTTGGTCCTGGTTTGGTGTGTTGTGAAGACGCAGATGTACCCACAGTGTTTATGTATTTAGTTCCCCACATTTCTTGTATGTTTGCGTACTAAGAGTGTTAGCTAGTGCTTAGTTGATAGTTAAACTGTTGTCCTGTTATCCTGCTTTGTGTTTCACTGACTCCAGACCTCTGGGTAATGTGACAGTGAATAGGCTTGCTGTGCTGTGATGTTTCCATTGGTCTGTTGGATGTTTGTGTTGTTCAGCATTTATTGTCAGCAGAACTTGCTCCTCCACCTTGTGTTGTACTGTGTTGTAACTTGAATTAATTAAGATAAGACAAAGTTTATCAAAGGGATTGATTGATCAGTACATAGCTTCAACAGTGAAGCTCTGCTGCTGCCCCTGGAAAGACTGTTGAAGTGTAGCTAATGTTTTTTTCCTCTCTGTCACTTCCTCCTTTACAGGATGAAGACTTTGTGACCAGAGACGACTTTGAAGATGCTGATCAGCTGAGGATAGGAAATGACGGCATCTTCATGCTCACTTTCTTCAGTTAGTTAACAATCTACTCGTGTCTGTTTTTCTCTTTAGCTGCTTTCACACATTTACTAAAGTCTGGACATTTTTATGAAATTTTCTGTTCTATGTGAGAATGTTGCTTCTTTTCCTGCCAGTAAAAGTGAGCCCATGCAAGAATACAGCAGGACAATGAAAGGAAAATTCACAGCGAGGAAAGCGTGTGTGTTGAAAAAATGTCAGCCTGAAAAAAAGACGAGATTTGAGATCTTTAGGTGATAAAAGCAGAGTTGTCATATCCTGCCTCCGACATGCTCCACCCAGGTGCCACTTCTCACCTGAAAAATTCTTAAAATGTTCTTCACACGTGACAGTATGTGAAATATCTTGACATTATTTTGCAGACCTTTGTGATCAGTATTCATCTTTTTTATTTGTATTTATCTTATCTAGTTCTTCTCTCCTTTGATTTGTGCCAAGAATTATCTTATTTTATTACAAATGAAAAATCAAATTATATAATCTTTTCTATTTATTTTCTGGTAACATGCCTAACTTTTTTTTTCTTCTTTCCAGTGGCATTCCTCTTCAACTGGATTGGTTTCTTCCTGTCTTTCTGCCTGACCACGTCCGCAGCCGGCCGCTACGGAGCCATCTCAGGCTTTGGCCTCTCTCTCATCAAATGGATCCTCATCGTCCGGGTACGCGCACACACACACACACACACACACACGAACACACACACGAACACACACACACACAATCAAAAACATAAAATGTGGTTTTATGTACGCACAAACAACAAAAGCCCCAAACACCACTCTGGTATTTTGATGTTGTTCCTGTTGTGGCTGGCTGGTTGGCACTTTGCTGTTTCCTCAAAGGTTTCTTGCTGCTTTCTTCATTCAGTTTTAAAATGCAGAACTCATTTGAGTGAAACCAGTGTAAGCCATATTTATTGTAACCCATCATTTCTGTCGTTCTGTTGGTTTCTAGTTCTCCACATACTTCCCTGGTTACTTTGATGGACAGTACTGGCTGTGGTGGGTGTTCCTGGTGTTGGGTAAGTAGCCAACCTCTGCATTTAAATAGATAAAATATATTCTGTAGTCTGTATTTACTTTTTTTAAATCAAAGAAGCAGATATTTAATAATGCAGTTATTCTTTAATTCCTTTCAAAAGCCTTAAACTGCCCCACAGGCAAGTCAGCACACATTTCTCCCTAAATAACTATCAACTTTAAACAGTCACTGTTCTATACCAGAATACAATATATTGAACTGAGAGTCTTCTCTAACCTCAGTGTCGTTGTTACTCAATCAGTCACATGTTGCCAAACCAGTTCACGGTGGTATGTTGAACGAGAGTCGGTATCAACCTGATGTAACTCTGTGTACACGACAAGTGATGCGAGCTGTTCAAAATGCAGGCAGGGTTTTATCAGGGTTCATATATATATAGTTTGTACTGTAGGTCTCACCATCATCTTTCCTCTTCAGGATTTTTGCTCTTCCTGCGTGGATTCATCAACTACGCCAGAATCCGAAAGATGGCCGACACCTTCTCCACCCTGCCACGCACCCGAGTCCTCTTCATCTACTAATTCCACAATCCTTCAGTCTCCAATCACCGCCCTTCTTTCACTGAGGCCCACTGTCTAGCTTAATTCAATCAAAACAGGAGAAAGGAATATTTTTTTCTTCTGCCTGACATGAGTTGGACAATATGTCTATTGTCCCCTTTTAATGTAAAATAGTGAACGCTGAGAAATCTGTAAAACCCATCAGTTGTTAGTGGTGAACTGTCAAGTGCTATTTGCAGTTATGAAGTATGTGATGTATAAATTAATGCCTTATTTACTATTTTACTGTCGGTAGCAGCTGCATGCGCTGTCTACCTGCTTAACCACCAGGGGGCAGGCTTGTTTGTATAATTGTTTCTGGTCTTCAACCTCTTGAAGTCATTTGCCCTGAAGGCTCAGAAGGCCCAGGGGCCAGAGGGCACTTTTGAAGTTATGGGCTGATTTTAAACAAAGTGAGATGATATCAGTTTATTGTGTTGTTACATTCCTGATCAAAACGTATTGTTCCTCCTGTGAAATAGAAAATAATTCAGGTAAATTGAGGCTGAAAAGGGAAAATCATTCGCTGTTCTTGGGTTCGGGAGCTGATAAGTTGAGGGCCACTTGTGTAGAAGATCGGGGGGGGGGTCAGGTTTCCCCTAAAGCATCATTTCCTTCTGTATTTAAGCTTCGTCTATGCACTCATGTAAGCAGGAATCATTATTGACCATACATATATTTCAGCTGAAGCGTAAAGGGGCAGTGACATCCAGGGGGCTCACTGCCTTGCTCAAGGGACAAAATTAACTGATAGTCTGCTACTGGATTCACAGTTCACTTAGTTTTCATCAAAAACCAATGATTCCAACACTTTATCCTATTGACACCCCACCGGTTTCCAAAGAGGAAAAGAATATTTAATCACTAGATGTTATTCGGAAACCCTGGCCTGTTCAGAACAAAGTCAAACATTTTATTCAGAGCAGAGACTTTTATTTTCTTTTATGTAGCAATGAAACATTCAGAGTCGTTATTTTTATGTTAACCCCCTAATTCTAATTTCAGGATTATTTTTATTGCGAGAATTGTACGTGTCTGGCTTTGAACATGTTTGGAATTAAACTGGAAAAGTACACGTTGCTGAGATTTTTATTTCGGAATGTAGGATACCACTTCCTCTCTGTGCTCTGTGAGATTTATAGAACATTATCAATTACATAGATTCATTTCAGCTCAGTAGTTTCAGAGTGGTCTTACTTTAACCAAAATGTCTAAATAGGAAAGTTGGATGAGATTTTAGAGAGAATGCTCTGTCAATTCAATATAGTACTTTAATACCTTTTTGATACCATGTTTGAAATTTTACTTGGAATATTAAATGCAAAAGCACTCAACAGTTATTCTACATCATTAGATTATTAGTCATGTATTGTGAAGTTCATTTCCCCTTGCTAATTTTAACACAAGACATGCGTGTGGAGATCTAGATGATTTACAGTCAGTGGCTAATTATATGTGTCGGCGGTGTGTTTTTCTCGCAGTTGGGACAGGAAGTAAAGTTCACCCCACCTGCAAGACATCGCCAACTGTCTTTGTTTTCACTGGAAACATTCAGTACAGTGTCACATCACCTCTCAGGCCCCCCCCACCCACCTGATCGTATAGCTGGATATTGGCCTCTAGTGGTGCTCAGAGGAAATGACACTGGCTCCATTCAGTTCCTCTTTCACAGGTCACAAGGGGTACAATGTCACCGTCAATTCACTCAAATGGTTATTTTACAGGTTATGAATCCAAACGTCTGCCAATAGCAGAACGGAGAAGTCTAGCAAGTAAGATTTTCATGCAGTTAAAGTCTAGAGGCATGTTAGGCCTTCTGGTAGAGTAATATTAACCAGGGACCTGTTAACAAGGGCCAAACCTCTTATTTCCTGATTTAGATTATTAAAGATTTCATGAAAGGAAACAATCTACATATTGAAAAGCAACTGTTCAATGTTTCTCATCGTTACTTCAAGTCTTTGCCACTTGAACTTGAAAATCTGATTTCCTGAAGTCATTTCTTCTGCTGTGTGCCCTTTGGAAAAACAGAAACAGCTGTCAGTAAAAACTCACAGATGTTCAGTAGCTCAGGGCTGAAAATGTGAACTTTGAACTGTCTGAGCTGTAGAAAACTTATTTTGAGATTTTAAAATGGACTTTTTGTCAGTTCCTTAAATTGAATAAATATATAATATTTTTAATCCGTGAAGGTCGGAGGAGGAGAACGACAAGTAGGGCAAAGGTCGTACGTCCAGTGAACCACTGTGTCACCAGATGACCTTGGACAAACAGACTTCATTTTGCCAGGTGCAGACGGGTTTAGCCGATGACAGTCTTTCAGCTGTAAATTCTGGCAGAGCACACAAACAACAACATTCCTTATCATCCACATCTTCCACAGATTCGGCCTCGGTGCACTCCAATCCCTCTGTAACGTCATCTCGCCTCCGCTCCAGCAGGGTCACCCGGTGCAGGTGTTCTTGTTATCCAGATGTCATTCATAAAACAGCTCCATTGTGCCAAGAGCTGTCTGTGTCTTGTCAGCTGTCCCCGATTTACAGAGATGGAAGTATTTCTCAGAGTAATTGATGGGAATTATGTGTGCTTGCCAAGTGCCTGCACTGCTTGCATGTTTTGGCTATCTAAAGATAAGAGGAGACTTTTTTTGATTTACAGAGAGCAGGGGAGTGAGCCGTCTTTGCGAAGAGACAAGCTTTTCTCTTCTGGCTTCTGTTAGACAGAGTCTGTGCAATGACGATGTGAATTTATAACCGACAGCTGATAAAGTCGTGCAAAATGTGGAAGTCTGAAATGCGAAATTCTAATGACTTTTTTGTCATGAATATAACGTAGGTTTGCTGAGCTGTAGCTGGGTCATTAGGAAAAGCACAGCTGCTATATAACAATAAAGATGTCTGTTTAATATTCAACTGTCCCAGTAAACCACGGAAGCAGCTAAATGGAATTCAACCATGAAACTTTGAATTTACTCTTTTGGAAAATTTTAGTTGTTTGCTGAAACATAAAATCATTATCTTTATTACTGAGCGTGTTTCTGGCTTGAAGGAATAGTTGCCGACCCCTGCAAGAAAAAAAATGGCACAGTCTAGTATGACCATTTTAGAAAGTATAATTATTGGCTGTAGTTGTACACAGTTTAATGAGTAGACTAACACCTCTCTTGTATTTCTACACTAAATAAGAAGCCACCTCCAGAAGCTAGCTGGCTTCAGCTAACGATTGTATTCACTTTGTTTTTTCTTTGATGAAACCAAAGAAAATGTGATGCATTATTTGGTGACATTTTATTAAAGAGGAAATTGTATTTTGTTGTCTGTGGACGGAGCCAGGCTGACTGTCACCAGTTGTTATGCTAAGCTAAAGCTAACTGGCCGCTAGCGTTAGAATGATCTTTTCATACTAGAGAGTTTTCTTGATCCGATCAGAACTGTTATATGATCCCCAATTCCTTTTTGTCAACTCTCACACCTTCGTCAATGTTGAACTCTATGAGCAAAGAATCTTTCATTATCATTATTATTATTTTTCTTTATTTTAATTTGTATTTTTCACACATTCAGCAGCTGCAAGGTATCAAACTACTGCTGCTAAGCTAAATAAAGCAGAAATGAAACCTGCCAAAGTGATTCTCACAATAACATATTTATATTAACATTATTCATCATCTTTGAGAACAGTAACCTTGAGGCTGGTTTCTGGTAAACGACATTAATATTCTCACATTTTGGCTTTACCCCTTCATTTATCAATGTTAGAATATCCTACCAGAGAATTCTCATCATCTTAGACAAACTGCATTTGGTCAGAGCCTCCCGCTGTCAGTCTGAGTTTGAGATGGGAGGTTCCCCAGGATGTGGGGAGGATGTGGGTTGCATCCAAATGATATGTCCTTCTTTTGTGTGTATGTGTGTGTATGTGTGTGTGTGATTGGGCAGGGGGAGGGGTGTTATCATTGATGTGTGAGTCATCCTGACCCTCCCCTCCTCTCTCTGCACTTCATGTGGTGTGTGTATATATATATGTGTGTGTGTGTGTATTTACACCCGTCATGTATCCAGATATTACATTTTTTCACCTGCTGTTATGTGTCTCCAGTGTCCACGCTGAGATCTGATTGTCCAGCTTGCGTCACATCCTCCAACCGTTTGCATGGGATCATTGGATCAGGTGTTTAAAAAAAAAGAAAAGTGCGATATTGTGTTTGCTTGCGTTTGGATTGTTCGTGTTTTCACGTTATCCAGGAGAGCATCTAAAAACAACCGACAGTTACACATAGTTGTTGTTGGACGGAGATTTATGTTGAAATTGCTTTTAAACATTGCATCCATGACCACCTCGTCTGGATCTGATCACAATCTGGCCTCAGTGCATCTTGGGTACATTTACACCTGTACACATGTGGTCAATCATTATCCGACTGGAAACCCAATCACCTAAAACGTGGTTCGATGCCAGGTGTAATTGAAGTGTATGTTGCGAATAAGTCGACATGCTTCTAATGACTTAAAACAGACTGTGTGTGCACGCATGATGTGTTTTTTAGTGTTTGTCAAGGCCTATGGCGCGAGCATCGCTGTGTATTGTGTGTGCGTGTGTGTGTGTGTGTGTGTGTGGCTGGTAAAGCAGTGGTGAGTCATCCACAGGCCAGCATCGCCTGTTACCATGGGTCACACACAGCAGGTACCCCACCTCCCCATGTTCTCCTTTTTTTTTTCCTTACCCACCTCTCTTCCTTATCCTCTTCCTCCTCCTCCTCCTCCACCATCTCCTCCTCCTCTTTCCCTCTCTGACTCACAGATGACTCCTCCACCACCAACACCACCACCAATGACATCACCACCCCCCCTCCCTGGCACTTTGTTGTGGTGAATCATACTGTACGTAGAGATTTTTCTTCTCTCCTGCTCCCGTCTTCAGCCAACCAGCGGGGCGAAACCTGAATGTCAGCCGATCATTCATTAAATGGGACTCGAGTCGCTGAAGCGTCTGTCTCTGACGACTGTGACTGATAGATAGGTAGGTTACCTCAGTGATGTCATCCATTATAACATATATCCACTTATGTAACTAAACAGATTCGACACACTCACGTCTTCTGATTACATTCGGAGGAAGACTCCCATCCATCATTGAAATATGAGGAAGGAAACCCACTCTATAAATCAGATCTCTAAGATACACTTTATTACACACTACCCTTTAACAAGAAATCAGAATATATTATTTACGCTGAATAACTTCCTTTACATGGTAACAGTGATTATATATTAATTCCTTAATATTTTGTTCTTAACATACTTTTCGTTATATTGGATTTCTTTATTAAGAACCACTCTATGATATTTTTTAAATGTTCATGATTTTCTTTTTCACATTTTCAGATTCTGCGACATTCAAATAAATGGTCGACCATCCCCTCTGTGTTTTCTGCTCATCATCCATTGCCAATTCTGTAATGTCATCATCCCTCCTTCTGTTTTTCTTCTTACGTGGCATTATTTAGTCTATGATGTGAAAAACGACCCTTGTTTCTCACTTTACCAATGACTTCCACAGACTGCTGACCAGTGAAGTTCTGCAGATGTTCCTGAAAGTCATCAGACACAAATCTGTCGCGTCGTCTGTGTTATTATTGGTGAAGAGTGTCAGTAAATGGTCACAGATAATGACATGCCGTGGAGGGATGTGTTTATCCATGACTTAATTCTGCAGTCATGTCAGAGACTCAAGCTTTTTAATGTTCTCCACCCTATTGCTATATGGCATTATATGTACCACATGCATTCTATCTATTTGTTTTCTTCAATATGTTGTGCAAATTATTACTGAATTTTGACAAAATCAGCAAAAGCAAACGCTAAATAGTACGGGTTTCTATTTATTGTGTGAATATGAGGAGTTGGTTCTTTGAAATAAGCAGCTGAGGTAATTCTCTGGATGGTTCCATTAAACCATCGCAGAAGAAGAGGGTGAGTTTCAAGTTGAGGACGGTCGTCTCCTAATTGCTCCAGATGTTTTCTCCTATGAACTGGAAACTTTAGTGCACTTTAATGTACATGTTTCATGTAAGTCACGA